TAACTCAACAATAATTACATCATTCGGTTATAACGAAACCGTCTCTGTTAAATTTTCCTACCAAGCGAAATTTCCAATAAACAACTGTGCGCAACAACAAGAGGAATTCGCGTAATTTAGGGAAAAAGACATCCGCTGCCTTTGCTAAAAATAAATTTATTTTCAAACGCAGTTCCAAACATTGCGTCAAGGACCATTAGCTCGAATCGTTACAGGCGAGAAGAGTAATTTTTAAACTACACATCCGCGAAATGGGCGCACTGGGGTTAGTTGAGTTAAAGCTGTTTTCGGAGTTCCAACAAATGGGAGTTAATTAGACTAATGTGGGATGGATTGTGTACGTTTAAAATGCAAAAAAAGCAAATCTCGGCGATAAATCTGCAAAGGGAAAATTTAATGTCGGCGTGCTAATTAATTGAAACTGCTTAATATGCGAAATCGCCTTTCTTCGTTGTGTAAGCAAACGTAACTGCGCGCGATTTATTTTTCGCACGGAGTGCGAAATGAAGCATCAATTTCGCACACGATGGGAAACCGACAAACATTAATTTACTTCGATTTGCCGGTCCGACGGTTCTAAATTTCTGTTTGCTGCAATACCAACCTTACGGTTAAATCAATGGACGAATCCTTTGATCTTCCTCTAAGTTCTTTATGTCTTTTCTATCCGCGCACTAGGTATTCACTTTATCGTACGCCGCTGGAGCGAGATATTTTTTGTTTGTTAATTTCTATATACTCTTTGGTGTTTCTAGTCTTCTTATTTCGGTGAATTATTTCCTCAAATGCGTTTACATCGTTAACCGCAAAATTGAATAATACAAAAAGCGAAGAATTGAAAAATAGAAACATTGAAGAACTGAAAAATCGAGAAATCGAAAAATCTGAAATTCAAAACATTGAAAAATGAAAATAAACTGAAAAATCGAAACATCAAAAACTTAGGAAAACAAAAAAATCGAAAAGCCGAAAAGTAAAAGAACGAAAAACCGACTTAATCGAAAAATCGAAACATCGAAAAATTCAAAAACTGAGACATCGAGAAATCGAAAAATCGAAAAACTAAAAAACCGAAATAGGCCAAAATCAAAAAATTGGAAAGGTCAAAATTGACAAACCGAAAAACTTTAAAAAAGAAAAATTAGAAGAACTGGAAACTCGAAAAACCGCAAAATCCAAAATTTAAAAATTGAAAGAAATTGAAGAACTGAAAAATCGAAAAATCAGAAAAATACAAATTCGGATACCTAAAATTTAGAAATAGAAAAACTGAAAAATCGAAAAATCGGGAAATTGAAACTCCAAAATTTAAAAAATTGAACATTGAAAAATCGAAACATCGAAAAATTCAAATGCTGAGATATCGAGAAATTGAAAAATCAATGGAGCGAGAACTAGAGGAGTCGAAAATTTGAAAAATTGAAAAATCGCATAACTAAAAAATCGAAACGAGTCGAAAAGTCGAGAAGTCGAAAAATTAAGAAACTGAAATAGGCCAAAATCGAAAAGTTAAAAATTGAAAAATTGAACAATCAAAACATCGAAATGTCCGAAACTCGATAAATCGAGAAAAAAAAATTTGAAAAATCGAAAATTTCAAAATTCGGAAAATTGAGAACTTGAAAGCTCGAGAGAACGAAAAATCCAAAAATTAAAACATCGAAAAGTTGGAAAAATTGAGAAATCTGAAGTTTAAAAAATGAAAAATGAAAAATTCAAAATGTACGAAATCGAGGTATTAAAAAATCCACAAGTCAAAAAATCGAAAAATCGAAGAATGGAAGTACTAAAATATCTCAAGATTGAATCATCGCAAATCCCAAAACTGGAAGAAATATGCAAAAGTTGAGAAATTAATAAACTGAAAAATCGAAATATTTTAAGAAAGAATAACTGGAAAAATAAAAATTTAAGAATTCGGAAAATAAAAAAAATTAAATATAGAAGAACTGACAACTCGAGAAATCGCAAAATCCGGAATTTTAAAAGTTGAAGACTTAAAATATTAAAAATTTGAAAAATCGGGAAATCTAAAGATCGAAAAGTTGAAATATACTTTAAAAATCGAAAAATAAAGGTGCAAAAAATGGAAATAAAAAAATCACAAAACCGCAAAATTGAAGAATAGAAATATTGAAGAACTGAAAAATCGAAAAATTCCAAAATTTAAATCATTGAAAAATTAAAATATCGAAAAATTGAAAAATCGAAATATTCAAACATCAAGAAAATACAAATTCGGAGACCTAAAATTTAGAAATCGAAAAACTGAAAGATCGAAAAATCGAGAAATCGAAACTAAAAAATTTCAAAAATTGAAAGTTTTAAAAACTGAAATATTGGTAAATCTAAAAATCTAAAATTTAAAAACATTGACAAATTAAAATATCGAATAATTGAAAAATCGAAAAATCGAAACTAAAGAATTTGAAAAATTGAAAAATCGCGTAATTGAAAAATCGAAAAGCCGAAAAGTAAAAAACCAAAAACCGAGAAATCGAGCATCGAGAAATAGAGGACTCGAAATGTCAAAAAAATAAGAAATCGAAATTCTATAATTTAAAAAATTAAAATATCGGAAAGCTGAAAAATTGAGAAATAAAAGTATAATTTTTAAACTACACATCCGCGAAATGGGTGCACTGGGGTTAGTTGAGTTAAAGCTGTTTTCGGAGTTCCAACAAATGGGAGTTAATTAGACTAATGTGGGATTAAAATATCGAAAAATTGAAAAATCGAAATATTCAAACATCAAGAAAATACAAATTCGGAGACCTAAAATTTAGAAATCGAAAAACTGAAAGATCGAAAAATCGAGAAATCGAAACTAAAAAATTTAAAAAATTGAAAGTTTTAAAAACTGAAATATTGGTAAATCCAAAAATCTAAAATTTAAAAACATTGACAAATTAAAATATCGAATAATTGAAAAATCGAAAAATCGAAACTAAAGAATTTGAAAAATTGAAAAATCGCGTAATTGAAAAATCGAAAAGCCGAAAAGTAAAAAACCAAAAACCGAGAAATCGAGCATCGAGAAATAGAGGACTCGAAATGTCAAAAAAATAAGAAATCGAAATTCTAAAATTTAAAAAATTAAAATATCGGAAAGCTGAAAAATTGAGAAATAAAAGTATAAAAGTTTAAAAACGAAAAACTGAAAATTTAAAATGTATAACATCGAAGAATCAAAAAATTCAGAAATCAAAAAATTGAAAAGGCGTAGAATCGAGATACTGAAATATCTCAAAATTGAAATATCGAAAAATTAAAAAAATATAAGAAAAATTGAAGAATCGAAATGTACAAAATCGAGAAATCAAAAAATCCAGAAGTCAAAAAATCGAAAAGTCGAAGAATCGAAATACTGAAATATATCAAAATTTAAATATCGAAAAATTAAAAAATATAAGAAAAATTGAAAAACCGATAAATTGAGAAATCATAAAACTGGTAGAGATAAAAGAAAAATTGGAAAATCAAAAATTTAATATTTGGAAAATTAAAAAATTAAAATGTAGAAGAACTGAAAACTTGAGAAATCGCAAAATCCAGAATTAGAATTACTTATAAAAATTGAAAAATTAAAATACTGAAAACTTGAAAAATCGAGAAATCTAAAAATTGAAAAGTTGAAATATATGTATTTTAAAAATCGAAAAACCAAAGTGGCAAAAAATGGAAACAAAAAAATCGTAAAACCGTGAAATTGAAAAATAGAAATATTGCAGAACTGAAAAATCGAAAATTTCAAAATTCGAAAAATTGAAAAATTGAAATGTAGAAGAGTTGAAAGCTCTAGAAAACGAAAAATCCAGAATGTTAAAAGTTGAAAAATTAAAATATCGAAAAGTTGGGAAGTCGATAAAGTTTAAAACCGAAAAATTGAAAATCCAAAAAGTAAAAAGTCGCAATTGAAAAATTCAGAACTCAAAAAATCGAAAAGTCGAAATACTAAAAAATCTCAAAACACAAACTACCTGAACTTAGTGTACAGAAAGGGCGCAAGTGTTTCTCGGGTCGTTCTTTTTTATGTGCCGCTTGATCGCGACCATTTGGCGCCAATTCCGGCCCATGCTCCTGCGTCGTCTGCCTAATTCGATTTTTGTAAATTATCTCCCTGCTCAGCACTACCTGCCCTTTTTCGCAATATTCAATTACGGGGGCGGCGGCGGCGGAAAGTGAAGTCGTTACCGGTCGGCGGCAAAGCCGTGCATTTGTATTCAGTCCTTTCGGCTTCCGCCGCCCCCCTCCATCAACAGTATCAGTAATGTAATCCCGGTGAGTGTGGTGCTATAATCCTGCTGCTTGTTGTTCCGGCTGACCTGCTTGCCATCCTGCTTGACATGCTGTCCGGAGTTTGTCTTTGTTCGGCCCGAGACGTTCCCACTTCTGATGTAATCATCCGGGAAGTCATCAGGATATTTATTACGCGGCCGATGCCGTTGTCGGCTCTGCGATAAGGGAAACAATCAGTGGCATTGTTGTTGTACATTTGAATGGGATCGATGCTGACCGCCATAATCAGCCGAAATCCGTCTAAAATTTTCTCTTACGGACACTGGTGTGTTCGCAGGGGTTGGGGGTCCGCCAAGTACTCGTGTTCGTCAATGCGGAAAGTTGCGGGGTACCTGAATGTCACAGCTTTGTCTTTTTATGGGGGCGCAGAGCGAGATCCATTACGCGATTTACTTGTAGCGTTTCTCTGATTACGCTAATAAAACCTCGGGGACTCCTCCAATTAATAATTTTCAGAGCAATTCCAGCTAATTTCGCGTTATCTTGCGAAAGCCCCTGCAAAAAACTCGCGGCATAACTCAATTAAAGCTTACTTCTGGCGCGTGTAAATTCACCGCCGTTCATCTAAGAGCTCCAGTTTTACGACACCGTATTTCTCGGCGAACAAGTACATACTGCATGCTACCGAATAATTAAGTTGTGCAAGTTTTAATTGTTATAGCTCAAGTTTTTGCGCGCATTACCGCTGGGCTTTGTTTCAGGATGCTGTGCCAACTTACCGCCGGTGTTCACGATGGACATGAACAATTTGGCCATATCGGAAAGAACGCCCGTAGGTAGGGAGATTTATATCTTGAAGGGCTCCGATCCGGAGAACGGGCCTGTGCATTTCGCGTTAGAGGGGACCGACGTGCTGCAAGTGAACCGAAATACGGGGGCGGTGACCGTCGTCAAACCCCTGGATTATGAGGTAAGCGAAAGGTTTCTTCTACGCGAAACTCACCCGTGCGATTCCAGACCAACACCACCCTTAAGGTCATTGTAAGCATCGAAGACGAAGTCCAAGGTGGCAGAAACAACGTAGTTTCAGTCCCTACGAACGTGATAATCCTAGATGAAAACGATAACGCGCCCGATTTCATAGATGTGAGTCCATTAACTCCAGCGTTACTAGTTTTAATAGGAGAAGTTGTAGGCTCCTTATGATATACTAGCGCAGGAGGACGCGCAAATCGGAACGACGATATTCTCGAAAGTGCTAGTGGAAGACAAGGACACGATAGGTGCAAACTTGGAAGTCGAGTGCATTAACTTGCCTGAATACCACGACGCGTGCGACTTTTTCCAAGTGGAAACTATCGAGTCTCTGCAGAACTCGTACCACGGTGCCATAATCCTGCGGCAGAAGCTCAACTACACGGCTCAGCAAAAGCACCAGTTTTTGTTGAAAGCCACGGTATTTATTTCGAACGAAAACCTAGGCGCTAACTCGAATCCTTGTCGATTTTTTGCAGGACGGCCAACTCAGCAGCAGTACAAACGTGACCGTAAACATAGGTGACGTTCAAGACACTCCGCCCCGTTTTATAGGCGATTTAAAAGCGGAAGTCGACGAGAACGCCTCCATTAACACCCTAATAATGACTGTTCATGCAGAAGATGGCGATAGGGGCGTCCCCCGCAAGATAGTGTACGAGCTCATTAATAGTACGTAATAAAATTGAGAGAGTAGGTACAGTTTGTTTTTCACACATCGATCATTGGTTTAGATCCCCTGGATTATTTTATTTTGGACGCCATTACCGGGGAACTGCGAACTGCTAGACCTTTAGATAAGGAAGCCGTTGACAATCCGCAAGGGATATTAACCCTAAATATCAAGGTGAGATTTATTGCGATCCTGCTTTGCCACAAACAAGCGGCGCTCGCACTTTACTTAATCTTAAAATATCTGTTTTTACGAATTCCAGGCTCATGAACTCGTGGACGGGGTCAAAGGCACCGACCCTTCGACCGTAACCAACGCAGAAGCGACTATCAAAATTAGAGACGTGAACGACGAGCCGCCGTCGTTCAATAAACGCGAATACTTTATCCAAATCCCGGAGAACATCTCCGAAGGGTCGGCGTTGCCCTCCCTGGACATGGTAGTGACGGACCCGGACGAAGTAAGTATCTCGCTATCCCTATTCCAACCAAAATCAAGACGCGCCCCTCGCTATCAATACTTTTTTACTTTTGTTATTTAATATCGCTGAATCGACTGCCTCCTCTATTGCACAAAAAATTGAAGATGATCTCAAACAAGTTGCATCCATACTTGCCCCACTTGGTTCTTTTCCTAAGCGTAATAAAGTAATCCGTCTTGGCAACTCGAAACCCAATGTTGTACGTCCTCTTAAGATTATTTATGACAATGAAGCCTGTGTTAAGGATGTTCTTCGCTCAAATAAGATCAATCCGAATCGTAAATACCATTTTAGGCCGGATCTAACTAAACTACAACGCGACTATAATAATAAAGTTAGGGATGAATTTCATGACAGACTTTCTAAAGGTGAATCTGATGTAGCTTTAAAATATAAGGACAATCTACTTCATATTACTAAGAAACGGTTTTCTGTGGATCTTTCAAAAAAGTAATAAATTTTTATTATTACAATGCTGGCGGTATTAGGTCAAAATTGAAAGATTTTTCTCTTAATGTCAATTCTAGTGTATATGATGTGCTTATTATATCTGAATCTTGGCTTTGTCAAAATATCTCTAATGAGGAGCTTAATTTAAACAATTACAATATTTTTCGGGCTGATCGCAACTCTAATACCAGTGAAAAAGTTTGTGGGGGTGGTGTGTTGATTGCAGTAAAAAAGGATTTTAGGGCATCTGTGATTTTATCTGGTCGGTTTGTGGAAAGTATTTATATTAATTTTAAACACAATAATTTAGATCTTATAGTTGGTGGAGTTTACATTCCACCCGCATCGCATTTGAATGTTTATGAAAATTATTGTTCTGATTTGGAGTGTATTTTTGAAAAGTTTCCTAATTCCTCTTATATTATAGTTGGTGATTTCAATCTCCCTCTTTCAAACTGGAATAGGAATGATATGCAGTTTAACTCATTTGGTAATTTTCGGGAATATTGTGAGGTAATTTGTTTAACTGCTGCATTTATGAACATGCAACAAGTTAATAGTATTCCAAATTCCAGAGGTGTTTATCTTGATCTTATTTTTTCTAATATAGTGAATATAGATATTTGCCATGCAATAGACCCTATATTTTCTGAAAGTTTTCATCATTCTCAGTTATCGTGGTTTATATCTCCTGTTGATCTTCCTATCTTATATTATGAATCTCGTATTTTTGACTTTACTAATGGTGATTATAATATGTTAAATGAATTTTTTACTTCAGTTCATTGGGATTCCTTATTAATTAGTCATGACTTGGATGAGGATATTTCAACTTTTTATAATATTCTATTTTATGGTTTTGAGAGATATATTCCATATAAAGTTGTAAAATATAGTCCTTCTAATTACCCAAAGTGGTTTACTGTGGAACTAAAAGATCTATGTCGAAGGAAGAGTGAAGCACATTACAAATATAAAAAATCAGGCAAATTAGGTGACTATCTCTATTTCAAATCTTTGCGATCTCAATGTAAAGAGCTTAATCAACAGCTGTATGCTGATTACATTGTTAAGGTAAATTTAAGTATCTCAAGTGATCCCAAATTTTTCTGGAAGTTCGTTCGGGACAAGAAGGCGAATGATGGTATTCCTGATGAAATGATAGTTGGACAGCAATCGGCAAACAAGGGTGAAGATATAGCTAATCTCTTTGCGGATTATTTTACTTCGGTGTATGTTAAGGATGACTATAGAAAATTTGTGTGTGATTTTGAGGTGTCACCTCAGGTTCATGATGTAGGTTTAAATATCACACTAACCGATGTTTTTGATCATATATCTGATTTGAAATCGTCTTGCAATCCTGGTCCTGATGGTGTACCTAGCATAGTTATAAAAAACTGCAAATTTACTATTTCGCTACCTTTGCTAAATTTATTTAAATCCTCATTGAGGGAAGGAATTTTCCCGGAAATATGGAAAAGAAGTTTCGTAATTCCAATTTTTAAATCCGGTCAGCGTAATAAAATTGACAACTATAGGGGTGTATGTAATCAATCTGCAATTTCTAAATTACTCGACGGTATAGTTTCCAAACAGTTACAGTGGAGTTCCTCTTCGGTTATTTCGTTTAAACAACATGGATTCTGTGTTAATAGATCTACACTTTCAAATTTGTTAGAATATCAATCGTTCTTAAATGAGGCCTTCACGGATAGATGTCAAGTTGATTCGGTATATACTGATTATGCCAAAGCTTTCGACAGAGTAAATCATAGACTGCTTATTATGAAATTGCAAAAATTAGGTTTTAAGGATCTATCGATTAAATGGTTATCGTCTTTTCTATTGGGTAGAATGCAACAAGTTCGCATTGGGAATTGCTTTTCTTCTTTCTTTAATGTTCCGTCAGGTGTCCCGCAGGGCACCCATTGTGGTCCTATCCTTTTTTTATTATTTGTGAATGATGTGACTCAATGCTTTAATTATTCGAATTACTTACTATATGCTGATGACCTAAAGCTTTTTAAAAATATACGATCGGTTCAAGATGCAGTGCAACTTCAGGTAGACCTAGATTCACTTGGGGAATGGTGTGATAACAATTGGCTCCCTTTGAATATTAAAAAATGTTATGTTATATCATTTCTTAATTTAAAATCTCGTATTGAGTTTAACTATCAAATTAACTGTCATGCTGTTACTCGTGTTTTTGAGATAAAGGATTTGGGTGTGATATTTGACTCGGGTCTCACATTTAAGAATCATTATGGTTATATTTTTAATAAATCCTTAAACATGTGGGGTTTCATTTGGCGTAATTGCAAAGATTTGTCAGCGTCAGCATTGAGAATTCTGTATTGTTCGTTAGTACGGTCACATTTGGAGTATTGCTCCTCTGTTTGGTGTCCAATTTATAATGTAGACTCTTTATTACTGGAAAAGGTTCAGAAGAAATTTCTTAGAACAATTGAGTTTAAGATGGGACATAGGCATGTTAGAGCTGAATATAGTTGGATAATGAGTTGTTTCAACATTCAGGAACTAGGCATACGGAGATGTATTAATGACGCGCATACACTTCACAACATTATCAATGGCCGTATTGATAATTCTGAATTACTAAGGAGATTGACATTTTTGGTACCGGCATCAGGAAGCTGCACTACTCGTAGCAGAAATATATTTAGAATTCGATTGGCAACATCAAATTTAGCAAAAAATCATCCTTTGCGAAGAATGATGGACGCTGCTAACCGCTATACAAATGATGATAAAGTTGAGATCTTCAATTCTTCAGTGTCTAAGTTCAGGAAGCAAATTTTAAAGTACTTCGGTTTTTAATGATATGAGGTGGTTATTAGTATACATGTATATATATATTTAGTTAATTATGTTTAAGAGTGTAATTATTTTTTTTTTGTAAGTGGGGTTTTCCCGTTAATAAATAAACTAAACTAAACTAAACTAAACTAAACTTCACGTGACTTTTTTCTCCAGGGCAACAACTCCGTCTTCTCCCTCCAGCTCGACGACATCTCCTCCTCGTTCTCCATCGAACCCAAAGTCGTGACCGGCTCTTCCCCCGTGATTATCCGCGTCGCCAACAGTTCCCTGGACTACGAGGACCTCAACCAGCGCAAATTCATCATCTTAGCCGTCGCTAAAGAACTGTACACCTCCGAGCGCCTCTCCTCCACCGCCACCGTTACCGTGACCGTAACGGACATTAACGATAACGCGCCAACTTTTGATCAAGAAGGATATTCGGCGGCCATTTCGGAAGTGTCCAGCCCGGGAACTCCGGTAATAACAATAACTGCGAGGGATCGGGACAGCGGAAACTTCGGAGAGAATGGGATTTTTTACCATTTGTCCGGGAGCGGGAGCGAGAGGTTCGTGGTGCACGAGAGGACGGGGACGGTGAGTGTGGCCGAGTGCGACAAACCAGGAAAGGAGCCCTGTCTGGATTTCGAGGAGAAAGAAGAGTACCGTCTGCACTTTATCGTGAGTTAAAATTTTATAGGGGTCGCGATTAATATAATCTGGACTTGTCGCGAATCCTGCTTGCTGCGCCAATTGTGCGGACCTGTCACCTTTTTCAGGCCACCGACGACGAAGGCAAAGGGCAAACCACGCGCGTCCCGCTGAAAATCCTCCTGACCGACAGCAACGACAACCCTCCGGTCTTCACCCAATCAATCTACCGGGTTTTTATTAACGAAGGCGCCGTCAAATTCGATCCCGATCTCGTCGTGGAGGCGGTAGACGCCGACAAAACGTCGCACGTTACGTATTCGATCATTTCCGGGAACGACGACGGCCTGTTTAGCATCGAGCCGAACTCGGGAAAAATACGCATCGCTAGCAACAAGGGACTCGACGTCTCCAACGATACTGATAATATCGTTTTATTAACTGTAATGGTAAGGAACGCATGTAGGTAATGGCAGTTTAGACCCGTTTGGCTTTATTCAGGCGAGCGACGGCACGTTTACTTCCACTTCCCTAGTCAACGTCACCGTCAGGGACGTTAACAACAATTACCCGATTTTCGTGGAGGAGAGCTACGTCGAGGCGGTGGCTGAAGACGCGGAAGTCGGGACGACGATTGTCCAAGTGCGGGCCACGGACATGGACATGGGAGCTAATGCCGAGGTCTCGTACGACATACGAAAAGGGGCTTACGAAGACTTCCAGATTGATGAGGTTACGGGGACCGTGGTGGTTGCCTCCAAGCTGGATTACGATAGGCGGAACACGTACACGATGGAGATTATAGCGAGGGATCACGGGGAGCCACCGCTCACAGGGACGACTACCCTTACCGTGAACGTCATCAACACGAACGACAAGACGCCCTATTTCGTCCCTACCACTCAGAAAGCAGAAGTAAGCATCCCCGTCAATCGAAATCCTCGTCTACTTTTTTTTGTAGATTATGGAAGATGCTTCTATCGGCACGCTAGTCCACACTCTGGTTGGTCTAGACCCGGACGTCAATTCCTCGGAAGCTTTGAATTTTGCGGCCACCGAACCCATCACGGCCTTAGATAAGCACGGCAATGAAGTGATAGGAGACGATACCTTCAAGAGCTTCTTCACCGTCGATAAAAACACAGGAAAGGTCACCGTTGAAAAGAAACTACAACGTGATATTGCGGCCACTGTACGCATTACCGTTCTCATTACCGACATCACAGCCCCCACGGTCCAACAAGGAGAAGGTACCAACTTCCCATCCATGACACAAAAAACAAATCTCATCATCATTAACTTGTAGGTCTTTTAATCATCACGATCACCGACGTCAACGACTCCCCGCCCACCTTCTCATCTCCGTGGACGCCCTTCGATCCCACCTACACCCTCGAGCTCAAAGAAGAGCAGCCCGTGGGCACAATCGTCTCAAAGTACAAAGCTGTCGATCAAGACTCGGACATCGCCGCCTACGCAATAATCCCCGAAAGCGAGCACTTCCAGATAAACAACGGCACCGGAATCATCCAAATCAAGAAACAAATCGACTACGAGGAGACTCAAGAGTTGACTTTTACGATCTACGCGTTCGACAGCGGCGTGCCCCAGCTCAACGCCACGGCTACCGTCAACGTGAAAGTGATCAACATCAACGACAACGATCCCGTGTTTTCGGCGCCTTCGTACAACGCTAGCGTGCACGAGAACTCCCCGAACGGGACGTTCGTGGCGCGGGTGAAGGCGACGGACGGCGATTCGGGCGACTTCGGCAAGATTACGTACACGTTGACCGGCGAGCACAGCGGGAATTTCGAAATCGGGAGCGAGTCGGGCGTGATCACGGTGGCCAATTCCGGGTTTTTGGACCACGAAGTTGTGCAGGAGGTGGTGGTGCAGGTGGTGGCTAGTGACGGCGCGCCGAACAACGTGAAGAGGTCGGCGACGGTGCCTGTTAACGTGAAAATATTGGATGTTAATGATAATAAGCCGAAATTTAATCAGAGTGAGTACAACGTGACTGTAATAGAAAACGTGAGGCTCAACCCGCCGGTTCCATTGTTGCAAGTTAATGCCACTGATGAAGATTCGGGGATTAATGGGAATATACATTACGAAATTATTGGAGGGAACGACAGAGGTGAGTTCGAGGAGATAAGGGAAGTGGATTGGGGCGGAATCGGTTAATAAAATATTTGCAAAAGTTAGGAAATCTATAACAGGCTCGCTTACTTCAAAATGCGCATTTGCGTTCCTCTGTCGCTTCGAGCTTTTAAAAATCTCTTTTCTCAGAATTGCAAATATTGAAACTGCCTGGTTAATGTATGACTGCGTTACGGTGGCACAAGCAAAGAAAAACGTGAATGAAAAATTGAAAACCCTGCTGTGACAGTAAGCTTGCATTTTTTACTTCAAATCAAACTTTCAAAGGGTTTTTGCTTGTACACCAATCAGCTGTGTTACTTTCGGTAAAATTAATTGGGGTTGATTAAATGCTCCCGTTTTTTGTCCGCTCCCAGTATCGATTCCCCAACAACACAAAACTAGATTTTAATTGGTTGGAGTTTGTTCGCACACAAAAGACAACGGCAATCGGAAAAGAAGTGACCAATTATTTTCGTAATGGAAAACCCATACGACCGTTCAGAATTATTGCTATGAATTTATTCCAGACCACTGCGTGTCCGATCGTTGACTATATGATCCCGCTGTAATACGCATTGTCACAACAAGTAACCACTCAACCGAACCGAAGCAGTTTTGCTTTTTATTGGGCTTTTATGAACGCGGTTTTAAGCCGGTCTAAAATTCTCCTTTTTTAATGCGATCACGTATTTCTATAATCCACCAAACTCCAAGCATTAAAGTAGAAATTTAGCTTAAAATGTTCAAGAAGTAGAAAGCCGCCTGTTTTCAAGGTTACGTGCTCGAGCGCCAAAGGGAGCGGCTTTTGGGGTGGGAGGGGCGGCAGCTGCATATGAGTAGTCTTGAACGTTATTCTTAATGCTACCGCGTATCTCTTCCTTCTATCAAACGCCAGTAAGGTAGAAAAGGGGGAGGCTTACAAGGTCACTCACACCGGTAGATAAAGGGCGCTTCTCAAGGCCTCTGCCCGAGTAGAAAAGGTGTGTCTTTGCAAAGATAAATGTACTACCGTAATTTCTACCAGAAAACACTTTAAAAATGCTCTGCCAATTCTGAATTATTCTTTAATAGTATTGTCTTTGTTTTACGAACCTAAACGGAAATAAGACGAATTTCTAAGCTTTATATCAGTGGTCTTGAACGGCAGTGACGTAGAAAACGGGAAGTTTACAAGGTCACTTGTTCGATAGATCACGGGCGCTTTTCAAGGCCACTGTCCAAGTAGAAAGGGTGTGACTTCATGTGTTTTGCCTAATTGCAGACATTTTCCTCCTGGGTGTGGAAACGGGCATCCTGTACCCCCACAAATCGCTTCTGGGCCAAAACCGCGATTTCCGGCTCCAGATCGAGGCCCGGGATGGCGGCGGCAACGGCCAGCTTTTCGATCGTGCGGTTATTAATGTACAAGTGTTGAACGTTAACGAGCATCGGCCCGAATTTATAATGCCGTTCCTGCAGAATGCAACAGTTGAAATAACTGAGGTAGTTGCGACTATGTATTTCGAGTCGAGTTTTATCTGTTAAACTATGTTTAGAACGCAGCTGTTGCGAACTATCTAGTCATGACGGTTAAAGCGACGGACGTGGACGAAAACGAGAACGGCAGAATAACGTACCATTTGAAAGTTGACGGACAGGACGTCCAGGAAACTGACGAGTTTTCCATTGACGCTAACACCGGGGAGCTGCGGAGCAAGAAGTTTTTGGACAGGGAGGAAAAGGCGAAATATGAGGTGCGTCGGTTGGTTGGGGTGCACGATCTAAATTTTTTATTTTAGCTTGTTTTGGTGGCTAAAGATCACGGCTCGCCGAAGTGGTTTGAGACTCTGCGCTACCTGACGATTCTTCTCGTGGACACTAACGACAACCGGCCTGAGTTTCCGGATTCGCAAAGCACGAATCCTTACCACTTTTACGTGACGGAGAACGAACCAAGCGGGACCAGAATCGGTAAATTCATAAAAATTCTCGGACGTTTTCTTACTTAAATCGGTCATTTAGGTCAGGTGAAAGCTCTCGATCGCGATGAAGGAACCCACGCCAAAGTCTACTATTACTTCCTCAAAGGTAACGAAAATGGCGACTTCCGTTTAGACAAACTTGATGGTTATCTCTACACTAACAAAGCGTTCGATCGTGAAGATCGGGACGACTACAGTTTGTACATTCTGGCTAATAACGACCCAGACTTTTACCTCTCGCCGGAAGACAAAGATAAGTTGAACGAAGACGAAGTCATCCACGATAGCAGCATAGCAAAAGTAAAAGTCACCGTGAACGACGTTAATGACAACATTCCAATTTTTGAGCAGAGCGTCTACAACACAGCCGTAAACGCCATGGCTAACATTAACGACTTTGTTACGAATGTAACTGCGTTTGATCCCGATTTGGGTCCTAACGGTTCTTTGACCTATTACATAAAAGCGTCTAATTTGTACAAATACGGATCAAACAAAAGCTCCGGATCGATTATTCCCTCACCCTTCAACATCACGGAAAGGGGTGAGATTTCTACGGCCACTTATCTAGCCGAGAATAACCAGCACAGATTCGTAATTGATATTATTGCGAGGGAAAACGCGTTCCCGGAAAGAGAGGCCTACACGCAAGTTCATGTAAGATTTTTAACAAATATGGAGTTAGAAATTGACACTGCGACTTTCCAGGTCTGGATTTTCGAGCCCGAACAACTGATTAGAGTCATACTTTCGCGCCCATCCGACGAAGTGACAAGAGAAAGGGATGAAATTATCGCTGAACTGAGCAACGCCACTGAAAGTCTAGTTATTATTGATGAAATACGATATCACACGGACGACAACGGTTACAAGAACGAAGACTGGTGAGTAAACCAGTGTAGTAGAAACGGTTACTTCGAAGGTCACGCGTCCCGAGTAGTAAGCGGGATGTTTTCAAGGTCACCACTTTATTATTGTAAAAAACGTGTTTTTCTGTTATTTAGGTCCGACATGTACATCCTCGTGGTGGATCCTCTAACCCAAACCATTCTCCCCGTTCCCGACGTGCTTAAAATCATCGACTCCAAGTACGACTTCCTCAAGGATTATTACGCAGGTTTTGCCATCGAGAACGTCCTTCCCGCGTTCGTTATGGAAAAAGATGAGTCCTTCGATCCCGCTCTGGCTGCACTTATCGCTTTGCTCATCGTCCTTTTTGTCGGTGTTATCACTTTCATCATTGTTTGTTGCTGTCTGAGACACTGGGTGATCTCACCCTCCGATCTAAAGAAAAAAGATGCTCTGATTAAGAAAGCAATCATCGATGACCTGAACACCACGGAAAACCCGCTGTGGATCGAACAGTGAGTATGACTTTCAACTGTGTTCGGTTTTATTCTTTTTCGTTTCCAGGAAACTGAAAATCTACGAGGAGCAAGAATTAACGATGCAGGTGTTCAATGAACCGGAACAGAACGTTGTGGCGCGAAGAAATAGCGACGATTTCATCCCCGTAAGTTCAAGTGAAATCTTTTTGTTCAATTTTCGCTGAGTTTTCTTTGTAGGAGGACAATACGTATGCCACCATTCAGCATCCGAACCGGCGGGGTTCTTCGCATATCGCTTCCAGATCTCTGGCTGAAGATCTAGCGGATTACGCCACTCTATCGGGACTTCCACACCAGACGGACAGCTCGCATAGCTCGCTCCGAGGAGCGCCAAACGTAACAACTTCCGTCCTTCGCTTTCTCGCTCACTCGCACGTTTTTTGCAGTATTACGAAGCGGCGATGGGCTTCCAGGGTTCCACATTCCAAGTTCCCGAACGAATCGGTGATACCGACTACGACTCTTACAGGACTAGGTTTAAAGGATCCGAACTGACGATTAATCAGGAAGGGCAACCCGAGTACGTTGCCGAACTGATTTAATTTTAAGATGACGAGATGCCTTCGTGTGACTAGTGAAAGTGACAATAGTGATTTAGAAAAGAACTGCTGTGTAAATAAGGTTTTTATTATTTGGTCCGTCTGTTTGAGTTACATGGGCGGTTCTTTCTAAATCAACAGACAGTTTTTCTACTCTAGGAAAAGTGATAAAAAGTTTGTTGAAAATTATGTATCGTTACCTGAATACTTAAGCGGGTCGAAGCCTGCGTCACGTAATTTTCGATTTTTTATTATTCGACGATTATTTCATAGCGTGATTTTGTGTAAGATATTATTATATGTATTAGGATAACAATTGAGGGCCATATCAGTTTTTATTTTAATATACTTTGCTGGCATATTTTAAATAGTTTTATCTTATTTATTTTTTTACTGTAATTATTGATAAATAAAATTGTATAGATTTGTACATAAATCTTTATGTATTGATGACGAACATTTTTTAATTCACCTTAGTCCCATCGTCGAAACACAAGCTCAAATTTAAAAAAATGTCCAAGATCATGAACAGTTCCTCAAAGAGCCCCACTAGAGGAGGTATAACAATTTTTTCGTTTTTTCTATGATATACCGGGTGTCTGACAAATGGCGGATTAACTCTTCAGTACGTTATACAGTGGCGGCTCGTAACTTTATGAAATGGTGGGAGACAATTTGGTTGAGTTAAATTAAATACAAAAATATATTCAATAAAAGTAAAAAAGTACTTATCCACATACCTTTGGTTTTAAATCAAAACTGAGGAAACACCAAACAAAACAATTTATTAGTTTTTTCACTTCACATCCACAAAATTTACCATACTTCTTATATTTTAATATATCTATGAAAGTCTATCGTTTTGTCATGAACATTTTTTTATTAGTAAATCAGAGGACGATTTTTATTAAATATTCAAATGAATTCATTATTTTTATTTACAATCAAACAATTTCAGTCGCGCAGTATGAAAATGAAATCCCGCAACTGAGTTACTGTTAATGGTCACTGTTCAAATACAGCGACTAGACGCACGGTTTCCATGGCAACCGTCTAAACAAAACGTCCAAATGAGTCATGATTTGGTCTCCGTTTTTATCAACACTTCAGAAACATATCACTTATGCAAGACACAACATCTTTAAATGTAAGTTTGGATACATTTTATACAAATGAAGCGAAACAAAAAAATTAGTTTTGATAATTATGACACAAATTTCCGGATAATTTTTTAAATATTGAAAATTACTATTTTGCTATGTCCCGTGTGTTTGTAGACGTTATGTACGGGGGTTTCGGGAGTCCCAAAAAAATAATTAAAAAAATCTTTATGATGTAGACTACGAAAAAAAACGTAATTTTACAAAAGCAAAATTGACAACTAATGCGTAAATACTTCCGGCTTACTTTTTGATTTCTTAGTAACGATGGTGACTGAAATCCACTTTTTATTTTTTTTAGGACAATAATTACAACAACCAGTAGTCATTAATCGTTGTGCATATTATTAATAAATAAATCAATAAAAAACATTTAATAAGACATTTATAAATAACATACCCTCTAAGAAAACAGAGGTGGGGTGGGCGGAGCTAGTTCCTGCTAAGATAAGGCTGATTTTGGCAAATGAGATACCCTTTAAAACTCTAAGAGAAGAGAGGGCGGGTGGGCGGGGCTAGTAGCTGGTAAGGTAAAACTGATTTTGGCAGATGATATACCCTTTAATAAAAGAGAGGGTGGGTGGGCGGGGCTAGTACTTGCTAAAATAAGATCGAGTTTGGCAGATGAGATTTCCTCTAAGAAAAGAGAGGGTGGGTGGGTGGGGCTAGTAGATGCTAAGATAAAACTGATTTTGGCAGATGACATAGCCTCTAAGAAAAGAGAGGGTGGGTGGGTGGGGCTAGTACCTGCTAAAATAAGATCGATTTTGGCAGATGAGATTCCCTCTAAGAAAAGAGAGGGTGGGTGGGTGGGGCTAGTATATGCTAAAATAAAACTGATTTTTGCAGATAACATAGGCTTTAAGAAAAAAGAGGGTGGGTGGGTGGGGCCAGTACCTGCTGAAATAAGATCGATTTTGGCAGATGAGATTCCCTCTAAGAAAAGAGAGGGTGGGTGGATGGGGCTAGTAGATGCTAAGATAAAACTGATTTTGGCAGATGACATAGCCTCTAAGAAAAGAGAGGGTGGGTGGGTGGGGCTAGTATCTGCTAAAATAAAATCGATTTTGGCAGATGAGATTCCCTCTAAGAAAAGAGAGGGTGGGTGGGTGGGGCTAGTATATGCTAAAATAAAACTGATTTTGGCAGATGACATAGCCTCTAAGAAAAGAGAGGGTGGGTGGGTGGGGCTCGTACCTGCTAAAATAAGATCGATTTTGGCAGATGAGATTCCCTCTAAGAAAAGAGAGGGTGGGTGGATGGGGCTAGTAGATGCTAAGATAAAACTGATTTTGGCAGATGACATAGCCTCTAAGAAAAGAGAGGGTGGGTGGGTGGGGCTAGTATCTACTAAAATAAGATCGATTTTGGCAGATGAGATTCCCTCTAAGAAAAGAGAGGGTGGGTGGGTGGGGCTAATAGATGCTAAGATGATACTGATTTTGCCAAATGAGAGATCCCCTAAGAAAATAGAGGGCAAGATACCAAAATTGAAGTGAAATTTTTTTTAAATTATAATAATTATTTGTTGCACATTTGAAATGAAAATTAGAAAAAATATATAGCTATTTTAGTTACTTTTGACATTCACAACTTCTCTGAACCCTGAATAAGTAAGCTGTAGTGTTTCCAAATTTTGAATATTTTTTTGCAAAGTTATTTATCACTCATCAGTACTTGCTAAGATAGAACTGAATTTGGCAGATGACATACCCTCTCAGAAAAGAGAGGGTGGGTGGGCGGGGATAGTACCTGCTAAGATAAGACTGATTTTAGCAATTGAGATACCTTCTAAGGAAAGGAGAGTGGGTGGTTGAGGCTAGTAGCTGCGAAAATAAAACCGATTTTGGCAAATGACATACCCTCTGAGAAGAAAGAGGTTGAGTGGGCGGGGCTAGTACCTGCTAACAAAACACTGATTTTTCCAAATGAGATACCTTCTAAGGAAAGAGATGGTTAGGGCTAGTAGCTGCTACGATAAGACTGATTTTGGCAAATGAGATACCCTCTAAGGGAAGAGAGGGCGGGTGGGCGGGGCTAGTTGCTGCTGAAATAAAACTGATTTTGGCAAATGACATACCCTCTCAGAAAACAGAGGGTGGGTGGGTGGGGCTAGTTCCTGCTAAGATAAGAGTGATTTTGGCAAATGAGATAAGCTTAGCAGGTGCTCGGTCCGCCCACCCGCCTTCTCTTTTCTTAAAGGGTATCTCATTTGCCAAAATCACTCTTATCTTAGCAGAAACTAGCCCCGCCCACCCACCCGTTCTTTTCTTTGGGTATGTGATTTGCCAAAGTCAATTTTATATTAGCAGGTATTAGCCCCGCCCACGCACCCTCTCTTTTTTATAGGATATGTCATCTGCCAGAATCAGTCTTATCTTAGCAAGTACTAATTCTCATTCAAACGACTAATTTTATTTCAATCACTGAAAAGGAGACAGGGTGGGTGGGCGGTGCTAATTATGTTCTTCTGTCGAGTGGGAGTAGAGAATAACAGAATCTTGGACGTGAAAAAAGAAAAAAAGCGCCTTTTTTGTGTGTTAAACATCATAAAATCGCTTGAAAATCCTCACACTGACAAAGTAACATATTTTAAACGCCCCTGTGATATTAAATATTTGTTATTATTAGTAGAATTTATTTAAATAATAATGTCTTTATTAAAGTCAAAATACACCATAAATGAATTCAAAATACGTCCGTCCAATGATTTTAACAGTGTATTATGGAAAGTTAATGAGACAGTCCTTAGCAGAGTTTTTAACAAAAACGGACAATTATTGAAAAAAAATTGATTTGAATTCAATAGTGTTTGAATAGTTAGTTCGGGGTCTTGCCGCCAGGAGCGCGACGTAATATAAACTTGCGACCGAACAGACAGGCAAAAATCTTTTTTATTATGAGCGTTCTTGGCTGATTTTTCTAATTCATGTCACCGAATTCGATTTTATGTAAGTCGTCCGGAAGAATAAATACTATTGTGTCGATTATAATATTAGAAATTGGTAAATTTGGTGCGTACCATATATCTAATAGTATGTATGTACTATGTATCCATAACCGCAGTAACCTATGTACATTTTTAGCCATATATTTTTTTTCCAAATACTCTGTTTAAAACAAGTGTGTTTCATTGGCTGATTTTCTTCTATCTATTTTATTTATCTCAGTTGATGACAGTAGAGGTTATGCAACACATTATACATATTGGAACTGTTGTATTTACATAAGTCAAACGTTTACATCTTTTTTATTGGATAATAATAATAATTCAAATCGACACATGTTTACTTTTGGTAAATGACATTAGAATTAAATGCAATATAAGACAATTGTACGAAACTTAACAATATGATCGAACTCTAAAACTGGAAAAAGTACATAACTCACATAATTTTTAAACAAATTTTAACAATAAACAATGTGTAGTTATTTAAAATCCCTACGTAAAAGTAAACGTAATTTGTAGGAAATGGAAATTGGGTTAAAAAAATGTAATGTTGGTTGCATATACAAAAATTTAATCTTTTATAAAGTTTACAATCATTAAAATATTGGGAATAAAGAGGTGATTCCGTTGATAAACAAATATGTATGAAGTTGACATAATGTCATGGGTACCAACCGCACATCAGAAAGTAAATAAATATACCTATCGCAAATAAAAAATATTATTACAATCAACATAGTGTGACGGGTAGTCCAAAAACCAAAATTTACACATATCAAGCTAGCTGTGCTTATTGAAATAGATGCATAAAATATTGCATTTATCCATAATTTTTAAAAACAAAGCATTTTTTGGATGCCACATCTTATACACGTTATCAATATTAACCAATTTAACATTATTTAACAAAACTAGAAGATTTATTGCTCAATACGCAATTTGTGCTCAAACGGCTCATCGCGCATAGAGTGATAGGAGACCCATTTTAGCGGCAGTTTAAATTTACCCCTACATAGTTAACGATAAATATGTATAATTCTCACCTGAAGAAAGCCGGTTTGTACAGAAAAGAGCGCGTTTCCAAGTAAAACTAACGATGAAAAAGTTTTGAAAAACGACACTATTTTTTCACACAAATGCGACTGTCAATCAGAGCTGCCACCAACTGGAGGGAAAAAAGTACTAACTTGAGACGCCAAAAAAAAGAAACAATTACATCGCCACTTTAATTTTCATAAATTTAATTTAAATATGTTCCCGCATTAATATTAAGATCGATAAAACTAGAAACCCTTTTCAGGCAGTTTTCTTTAGTGCGTACATTCAACCGGTTCTCTAGATGTCGCCACGTTGGTACCCATGCGCGACTTGTCATTTCATTACGTCATTTGATATTTATCAGTTTCATTTTAGCATTTTTACACCTCCACACGTCCCGTAGTCACTCGTGCGTTATCGAAACCATCACATCCCCCCCAGTGTCAGTGCGCGTTCTAGTCTCCACCTCCGCCCCCATTCATCCCCGCGTTCTGTCATAACCTCTCGAAAATCTCCCTCCGCACCCTCGAGCTCGTCAACCCCGGCCCGCCATATGCTGCTCATTACCTCCCGCTCTCCAATAATGATAAGATAACCTCCGAAAATGTCCGACGCCGCCGTTCCCCAATGGAAAAAAGACTTGATAGCGCGTCTCCGCAGCCAAAACAAACGGACCGCTCACGCCGAGCAGCAGCTGTTCGGCCCCTCTCATCGGACGTTGCCTCCTCCCAGTGCAGCGGTCGCGGTCGGCAGTGAAGCATGTGAGTGCGGCGGCACCATGGTGCAGCGGGGCGACAAGAGCGACTCGGACGAGGACCTCCACTACGGTCCTGGAATCGTGAGCAAGCTCAAGGAGCGCTACCTGAGCCTCGCGCAGCGCGAGAAGCCCCGGCCCAGCATCCTCCGCAAGGCGGCCTCCTTGGAGAACCTCCTCGACGATGGCCCGGCCGAGAGCAGCCGCCTGTTCCAGGCCAGCCAGAACAAGCGCGTCCCCAGCCGGTACGCCCAGAAGGGGCCCGAGCTGAAGAGGGCGCGCTCGGTCGAGACCATCTCGACGCCGGAAGAGACCGACACCAAGCCCAAGCGTGAGTCCATGCACGAGGAAATGCTTATCAAAGGAAGTCTGATAATTCCGGAAAAACCGCCGGAAAATGAACACAAATACAGAGTTAACAGACCCAAGCGCATCGCGCCCGTCATGAACGAGAAGGAGAAGCCCCCAGCGGACGTCGTCAAGCAGGCCAAGATGATCTTCGAGCGCCGGCCGGAGCAGCGCACGAAGCCCCCGCAGCAGACGGGGGAGGTGGCGGCCAAGGTGCAGACCTACAAGCGGATCATCGTGGAGAACAAGCCGCCGAAGAAGCCCGCCATCAAGGTGAAGCCCGTGCTAGATAAGCCGAAAACTAACGGGATTAGGGCCAAGAATAAGCACGGCGACAGGGAGGCGTCCAAGTCGCCGGACATTCCGCCGAGGGCGAGGTCGCCGGAGAAGAAGGTGGAGGTGTTGAGGCCGAAGTCGCCGGAGGACGTGCCGCCGTCGCCGAAGTCCCCGAGGTCGCCTGAACTTAAGCTCTCTTCAGATGTGCCTTCGCCGAAGTCGACGTCCTTGCCAAGCCCCATTCCGGATATTTCCAGGGTGGATTTTAAGCCCGAGGAGAACGGGGTTAAAGCGACGAGTTTATCGGAGACTCCGGATTTAATTATTACGTCTAGTCCATTGCCGGTGGTGGATTCGCCGTCTTTTAGGATATCGGCCACTGAGAATTTTATTAAAGAGGAAATCAGGTTAGTAAGAAGGAAGCTTGAAATTTTAGACGCCGTCTGCTGATACTTTTCGCTAGATGTGTAATATATACCTCGTTTATTTTTATAAGGTGACATTTTATGCTATGCAAATATAGTAATTATAGGTTAATTCTCTTCTAAGAAGCTTTCCATCGGGAAAAACACAAGCTCAGGATGTGGTTAACGGTGGCTAATAACATCCTTCATATTTATTTATATGTTCATAATAATAATTATTATAGAGATTTGTACATGGCCAACTGAGATTCATTGCTGAAATTGATTCCGTTAACCTCAAAAATTCCCACTCCATATATTTAAACTGTTTATAATAAAAAAAAAAGGTAAACGGCTGTCCATTCGTTTAAACTATAGATACTTAGACCAATTTTAAACTTTCGTCCTGTGAAATCTATTTTATTGTTAAACGATTTCTAACTAATTTTTTGTTGTCGAAATAAGTCTACACATATTAAGAAATAAAGGCAAAATGTAGCCCCACCCACCCGCCCTGTCTCAATTGTGATGATTTTTTTTTATTCGTCATGAGCCAAGAGGGTGGAGCTTTACTACAAAATCCTTATTTCTCTACGAGCAATTACAGACATATTTTTGAGTATCGTGTTGTTCAAAGAATACTATGTACATTAAGAAAAGATTAAACCCTACCCATACCTGACCTGATCAAAATATGTAGTAATGAAGTTTTCATTCGTTGTCACAACTAGAGGCGGGGTTATAATTGCAAAATCCATATTCCCTACAAAAATTTACCATTTTAAACGACTTTTAAGTTTCTAAGAATTAAAAAAATCATCACAATTGGGATGCGGTGGGTGGGTGGGGTTTATATTTTCCCTATTTCTGTTAATATACATTGTATTATTTAACAACACGATACTCAAAAACATGTTCTTAATATATTGTAAAGAAATAAGTATTTTGCAGTTAAGCTTCGCCCTCTTGGTTCACGGCGAATAAAAAAAATCATCACAATTGAGATAGGGCGGGTGGGCGGGCTGACATTTTGCCTTTTCATTTTAATATGGGTAGACTTTTTTTCACAACCTGAAACTTAAAACCTGGTTAAAATGGTAAATTTGTATAGGGAAATATCCATATTTCTTTACATAAATGTATCATTTTAACCATGTTTTAAGTTTCTTGTGAGGAAAAGATGGCTATGTATGTTAAGAAAAAAAAGACAAAATATAAGCCCCGCCCACCCACCCTATCTCAATTCTGATGATTTTTTTTATTCGTCGTAAGCCGAGGGGCTGAGCTTAATTGCAAAATCGATATTTCCCTATACAACTTTACCATTTTAACCATGTTTTAAGTTTATTGTTGTGAAAAAATGGCTATGTATGTTAAGAAAAAAAAAGGAAAAATGTAACCCCACCCACCCGCCCCATCCCTATTGTGATGATTTTTTTTATTTGTCGTGAGTCAAGGGGGCGGAGCTTAACTGCAAAATCCTTATTTCTCTACGAGAAATGAAATTAAAAACATGTTTTTGAATATCGTATTGTTCAAAGAATACTATGTATATTACGAAAAAATTAAAGCCAAAGATTAGGCCCCACCCATACCCGCCCCGATCTCAATTCTCAATTGTGATAAATTTTTCATTCGTTCTCAGATCGAGGGGCGGACCTTAATGGCGAGATCCATACTTGTCTAAAAGAATTTACCATTTTAAACATGTTTCAAGTTTCTTGTTCTGTAAAAACGACTACGTGTATTAAGAAAAAAGGCAAAATATAAGCCCCGCCCACCCACCCTTTCTCAATTGTGATCATTTTTTTTATTCGTCGTGAGCCAAGGGGGCGGAGCTTTACTACAAAATCCTTATTTCTCCACGAGCAATTACAAACATATTTTTGAGTATCGTGTTGTTCAAAGAATACTATGTATATTAAGAAAAGATTAAACCTTTCCCATACCTGACCTGATCAAAATATGTAGTAATGAAGTTTTCATTCGTTGTCACAACTAGGGGCGGGGCATAATTGCAAAATCCATATTCCCTACAAAAATTTACCATTTTAAACGACTTTTAAGTTTCTAAGATTTAAAAAAATCATGACAATTAGGATGGGGTGGGTGGGTGGGGTTTATATTTTGCCTTTTTCTCTTAATATACATTGTATTCTTTAACAACACGATACTCAAAAACATGTTCTTAATTTCTTGTAAAGAAATAAGTATTTTACAGTTATGCTTCGCCCTCTTGATTCACGGCGAATAAAAAAAATCATCACAATTAAGATAGGGCGGGTGGGCGGGCTGACATTTTGCCTTTTCATTTTACTATGGGTAGACTTCTTTTCACGACACGAAACTTAAAACCTGGTTAAAACGGTAAATTTGTATAGGGAAATATCCATATTTCTTTACAAAAATGTATCATTTTAACATTATTTTAAGTTTCTTGTGGGGAAAAGATGGCTACTTATGTTAAGAAAAAAAAGGGTAAAGTATAAGCCCCGCCCACCCACCCTACCTCAATTCTGATGATTTTTTTTATTCGTCGTAAGCCGAGGGGCGGAGCTTAATTGCAAAATCGATATTTCTCTATACAACTTTACCATTTTAACCATGTTTTAAGTTTCTTCTTGTGAAAAAATGGCTATGTATATTAAAAAAAAAAAACAAGGAAAAATGTAGCCCCACCCACCCGCCCCATCCCTATTGTGATGATTTTTTTTATTTGTCGTGAGTCAAGGGGGTGGAGGAGCTTAGCTGCAAAATCCTTATTTCTCTATGAGAAATTAAAAACATGTTTTTGAATATCGTATTGTTCAAAGAATACTATGTATATTACGAAAAAATTAAAGCCAAAGATTAGGCCCCACCCATACCCGCCCAGATCTCAATTCTCAATTGTGATGAATTTTCATTCGTTGTTAGATCGAGGGGCGGGCCTTAATTGCAAGATCCATATTTGTCTAGAAGAATTTACCATTTCAAACATGTTTAAAGTTTCTTGTTCTGTAAAAACGACAACGTATTCAGAAAAAAGGCAAAATATAAGCCCCGCCCACCCACCCTGTCTCAATTGTGATGATTTTTTTTTAATAGTCGAGAGCCAAAAGAGCAGAATTTAATTGCAAAATCTTTATTATTTCTCTACAAGAAATTACCATGTAAGACATGTTTTTGAGTATCGTGGTATTAAAACAATACTATGTTTGTTAAGACAAAATTAAACCAAAGATTAAGCCCCACCCATACCTGCCCTGATGTAAATAGTAATGAAGTTTTCATTCGTTAGCAGACTTAGGGGCGGGGCCTAATTGCAAAATCCATATTCCCTACAAAAATTTACCATTTTAAACGAGTAGTAAGTTTCTAAGAAAAAAAAAATCATCACAATCGGAATGGGGTGGGTGGGCGGGGTTTATATTTTGCCTTTTTTTTTTCTTAATATATAGTATTCTTTAAACAACACCGATACTAAAAACATGTTCTTAATTTCTTGTAAAGAACTAAGTATTTTGCAGTTAAGCTTCGCCCCCTGGTTCACGGCGAATAAAAAAAATCATCACAATTGAGATAGGGCGGGTGGGCGGTCTGACATTTTGCCTTTTCATTTTATTATATGTAGACTTCTTTTCACAACATGAAACTTAAAACCTGGTTAAAATGGAAAATTTGTATAAGGAAATATCTAATTTGGAATTAGGCTCCGCCCCATGATTGCAAAATGCATATTTCCTTACAAAAATGTATCATTTTAACCATGTTTTAAGTTTCTTGTTGTGAAAAGATGGCTATGTATGTTAAGAAAAAAAAAGGCAAAATATAAGCCCCACCCACCCGCCCTATCTCAATTCTGATGATTTTTTTTTATTCGTCGTAAACCGAAGGGCGGAGCTTAATTGTAAAATACTTATTTTTCTACGAGAAATTCCCACGTAAAATATGTTCTTAAGTAATCGTACATACAAGGAAAACTAAATATATTAACTAAAAAAGAAAACCAAAAGAGAAGCCCCACCCATCCATCTCGACCGTAGTCGTGATGAATTTTTCATTCGTTGTCAGACCGAGGGGCGGAGCGTAATTCTAAAATCGATATTTCCCTATACAAATTTACCATTTTAACCAAATTTAAGTTTATTGTTGTGAAGAAATGGCTATGTAATTAAGAAAAAAGAAAGGAAAAATGTAGCCCCACTCACCCGCCCCATCCCTATTGTGATGATTTTTTTTATTTGTCGTGAGTCAAGGGGGTGGAGCTTAACTGCAAAATCCTTCTACGAGAAATTAAAACATGTTTTTGAGTATTGTGTTGTTCAAAGAATACTATGTATATTAAGAAAAAATTAAAGCCAAAGATTAAGCCCTACCCATACCTGACCTGGTAAATATGTAGTAATGAAGTTGTCATTCGTTGCCAGACCTAGGGGCGGAGCCTAATTGCAAAATCCATATTTCCCAACAAAAATTTATCATTTTAAACGTGTTTTAAGTTTCTAAGAATAAAAAAATCATCACAAATGGGAAAGGGTGGGTGGGCGGGGTTTATATTTTGCCTTTTTTTCTTAATATATAATATTCTTTAAACAACACGATACTCAAAAACACGTTCTTAATTTCTTGTAAAGAAGTAAGTATTTTGCAGTTAAGCTCCGCCCTCTTGGTTCACGGCGAATAAAAAAAATCATCACAATTGCGATAGGGCGGGTGGGCGGGCTTAAATTTTACCTCTTTATTTTAATATGTATAGACTTCTTTTCACAAAATGAAACTTAAAACCTGGTTAAAATAGAAAATTTGTATAAGGAAATATCGATTTTGCACTTTGGCTCCGCCCCATAATTGCAAAATCCATATTTCCTTACAAAATGTACCATTTTAACCATGTTTTAAGTTTCTTATTGTGAAAAGATGGCTATGTATATTAAGAAAAAAAGGCAAAATATAGACCCCGCCCACCCGCCCTATCTCAATTCTGATGATTTTTTTTTATTCGTCGTAAGCCGAGGGGCGGAATTTAATTGTAAAATCTTGATTTATTCCACTAGAAATTACCATGTAAAATATGTTCTTAAGTAATCGTGTTATCCAAAGAAAACTCAATGTATTAATTAAAAAGGAAAACCAAAAGAGAAGCCCCACCCATCCGTCTAGACCTCAATCGTGATGAATTTTTCATTCGTTGTCAGACCGAGGGGTGGAGCGTAAAATCGATATTTCCCTATACAAATTTACCATTCTAAACATGTTTTAAGTTTCTTGCTGTGAAAAGATGGCTACACATATAAAAAAAAGGCAAAGTGTAAGCCCGCCCACCCGCCCAATCCCAATTGTGAATTTTTTTTTATTCGTCGTGAGCCAAGGGGGCGGAGCTTAATTGCAAAATCCTTATTTCTCGACAAGAAATAAAAAACATGTTTTTGAGTGTCGTGTTGTTCAAAGAATACTATGTGTATTAAGGAAAAAACAAGCCAAAAATTAAGCGCCTCCCATATCCATTCCAAGCTCAGTTGTGATGAATTTTTCATTCGTTGTCGAACGCGAGGGGCGGAGCCTAATTTTAAACTCAATACTTTCCTACAAGAATTTACCATTTTAAACATGTTTTACCTTTCTTGTTGTGAAAAAAAGACTACGCATTTAACTTAGTTGGCCATGATTTTTTCTACTTATGTCCCTTCTAGTGACACACAATAGTATGTATATTAAAGAACGACTTTCATAAGGCAAATATTAAGGCACGAATCCAAGTTTATAGAACGAGCGGCGAAGCCGCGAGTTATATAAAGGATGAGTGCCACAAAATTTAATTGAAATTCGCGTTTTTACCGTACGTTCGAAAACCTTTTGACTCAGAGTTGGCTGTGTTATCTTTGTAAAACGTCACCGACTTTCCTGTTTTCACAGATTATCCGAAACCGAACGCACCCCACCGCCACCATCCCCGAAGCCCGCCAAGAAGCCCCAGCCTTCGCCACCACCCACGACAAACTCCATGACGTACAACTTCGTCGAAAACCACGCCGCGAAAAGCCAGACCCAGCAACCGATCAACAAGAACGTGTTGAATACTCAGACGCCGCCCTCTCAGCCCCTCAAGTTGGAAATCAACGGCGTGAGCGAGACGTCGTCGAAAGCTAAGAAATCGTCAAACGATTTGCTTAGCGCCAAGCCGACGCCGACGAACCTCGAAATCGAGAAGAATTTGAAAAACGCGGCCAAGACTCTGCAACAGCCTAAGACTAGTAGTAGTGTTATAACGAAGTGCGACGCGAACGAAGTGACTACGATTAAAGTGCCAAAAGTGAAAAAACCCCCGCGCGAACATGAGAATACCACGATGTTGTTCGATTTCAGGGACAGGAAAGACGTACCGGATCACGTGAAGAACGACGGGGTGACGAGGGCGGCCAAGCTGGAGAAGCCGAAGGTGAGGATGGGTTTTTTTCTTGTGACGGGGTTTAATTTGATGGTAGAGGATTTACTGTTGGAAAAAATTGGTCGAAAGTTATTTCGACAGAACTTCCCTCGCCCTATAAATCGCGCTTCTTTGAAAAATTATAACAGTTATTTGTGTAACTAGTTTTGAAAGTGATACTTTTTTTTCATGAATTTGTAGTTAATGAAGTAAATGGGTGAAAAAAGAGATTTTCAAAACGGGTTGTACAAGTACTTTTTTTGCATGATGATCCTTGGAAGCCGAAAGTAAAAGAATCTGTCATTGACATTTCGTGATTTGCTGTGACTTAAAAATGGTTGTTGTCATTTGTTGAAAAAAAATAAAAATAATAAAAAAATGATTTTTTGACAAAAAAAGTCCCATAATTTAATCACTAGATGCAAAAAAATGTGATTTTTGGTTTCTTATAACCCCTATGAAGTAAAAACCAGTAAATTACACTTCCGCAGCTTTTTGGACAAGAATTTTTCAATTTGTGTTTTTTTTTTTTCAATTTTCCAACTTTTGAATTTTTCAATTTTTAGATTTTGCAATTTTTCGATTTGAGTTTTTTGAGTTTCCAGTTTTTCGATTTGCGATATTTCAGTTCTTTATTTTCTTGTTTCTTCAATTAGGTTTTGCAATTTTTAGATTTAAATTTTCTCGAGTTTTCAGTTTTTAATTTTTCAATTTTCGATTTTTTAATTTTTCATTTACCAAAATTTTCGATTTTCAATTTTCCGTTTCGGTTCTTATTGGTCTTTATTTTTACAATTTATCGTTCCTGAATTTTTCAGTTTTTCGATTTTCCAACTTTTGGATGTTTTCATTTTTGGATTTAGCACTTTTTCGACTTGGAATTTCACGAGTTTTCAATTTTTCTTTGTTTCGATGTGAAATTTTTCGATTTGTCAATTTTAGCTTTTTCAGTTTCTGGATTTTTGAGTTTTTCGTTCCTTCAATTTTTGATTTACAATTTTTCAATTTTTTATTTTAAATATGGATCTAATAATATCTAATTATAATTTTTAAAATTTATCACTTTTTCAATTTTACTATTTTAGAATGTTTCTATTTTTTTCAGTTACATATTGGATTTTAAAATTCTTGCATTTAGTCGGTTTCTCAATCTTTTGATTTCTCGATATTTAATTTTTCGGTTGTTAGATTTTTCAATCTTGATTTACAACTTTTAATTTCAATTTTTTATTTTCTTTATTTTTTCAAATTTTCGATTTGCGATTTTTCGGTTTTCAATTTGTCAGTTCTTTCATTTTTCATTTTGCAGTTTTAGATTTTTCAATTTCCCAATTTTTCAGTTTTTCGTTTCTTCAATTTTTGATTTGCATTTTTTTTTCAATTCTTCAATATTTAATTTTTCAATTTTCCGATCTTTCAATGTTAGAGTTTTTCGACTTTACAATTTTTGGGTTTTCTAATTTTTCGAATCCATTCGTTTTTTCTTCTCCCCAATTTTTCGATTCATTGAGTTTTTCGAATTTTAAATTTCTCGATTTTTAGTTTTTCAATGTTTCAATTTTTCGTTGCTTCAATTATCCGATTTACAATTTTTCGATTTTGTACTTTTTCGTTTATTCGTTTTTTTTTTGTTTTTTTTTTTTTAACGAAAAAGTATAAAATAGAAACTTTGAAAAATCTAAAAGCTGGAAATCAAGAACTAGAAAAATTGAAGAAACAAAAATTTGAAAAAGCCAAATGGATAATATTGAAAACTAAAGAAAAAAAATCGAAACAATTGAGAAACCGAAAAATTGCAAAATTGAAAAATACAGGAACTGGAAAATCAAAGATTTGAAGAATTGAATAATCGACAAATTATAATATATAATCGACAAATTGAAAATTGAAAAAAATGGAAAAATGAAAAATAAAGCCAGAACTTGAAAAATTTTTGAAACAAAAAATTAAAAACTGAAAATTGTGAAACTAAGGAGTCGAAAAATGAAAAATTGTAATATCGCCAAAATGAAAAATTGAAAAAATAAACCAAAAATCATGAAACCCAAACATTGAAAAATGGAAAAATTGATGTTCTTCGATTTAGAATTTTTCGTTTTTTCAGTTTTTTAAAAAATTTCAGATTTTTCAAATTTTCGAATCAAAAAAATGGAAAAATGTTAAAATTAAAAAATCGAAAAAGTATAAAATAAAAACTGGAAATCAAGATCTTGAAAAATTGAAACAAAAATTTGAGAAAACGAAAATTGTAGAATCTTATTTGAAAATTAAAGAAAAAATTTTGACGATTCTGTATTTTCCGATTTTTCACTTTTTGAATTTTGAAATTTTTCGTTTTTTCAGTTTTTCATTTTTTCCGATTTTTAGTTTTTTGACTTTGATATTCAGTTTTTCGATTTTTAAATCCTTCGATTTTTCAACTTTTCGAAACAAAAAAAAATGTAAAAATTGCAAATTTGTATATTTGAAAAATCAAAAATGAAAAAACGAAAAAATGTAAAAATGAATTTTGAAAAATCTAAAAACTGAAAACCAAGAACTTGAAAAAGTGAAGAAACGACAAATAGAAGAACCAAAAAATTAAAAATTCACAAACTTAAAAATCAAAAAAGTGCAAAATCAAAAAAACGAAATATTGTAAAACCGAAATATTGAAAATTAAATAATTTGGAAAATCGGATAATTGACAAATCCAAAGATTGCAAAATTGAAAAATTATAAATTCCAAAGAAACATTGAAAAAATAAAGGAAATGAAAAATGGAAAAATAAAAATCAAGAACTTTAAAAATTGAATAACTAAAAATTGAGAAACTAAAAAGTCGTCGACAAATGAAAAATTCTAATAAGGCACAAGAAAATTGTTATATAAAATCCAGAAATTGAAAATTAAAAAATCGGAAAAATGAAAAGTAAAAATCAAGAACTTGAAAAATTGATAAAACAAAAATTTGAAAAAACGACATGTTGGAAAATCAAGGAATTGAAAAATCAAAAATAGAAAATTTGAAGAATTAAATAAACGAAAAATTGTAACGTCGAAAGAAACGTTGAAAAAATAAAGGAAGTGCAAAATCGAAAAATTGTAATATAAAATCGAGATATTGAAAATGAAAACAGAAAAATGAAAAATAATAAACAAGAACTTGAAAAATTGAGGAACCGATAATTGAGAAACTAAATAATGGAAAAATGGGAAATTGTAATATCGCAAAATTGAAAAATTTTGAAGTCGAGAATTTGAAAAATTGAAAAAATAAACGAAAAATCATGAAACCGAAACATTGAAAAATAGAAAAATTGTAATATAAAATCGGGAAATTGAAAATAAAAAAATCGGAAAAATGAAAAATAAGAATCAAGGAATTGAAAAATCAAAAATTGAAAATTTGAAGAATTGAATAAACGAAAAATTGTAACATCGAAAAAAACATTGAAAAAATAAAGGAAATGCAAAATCGAAAAATTGTAATTTAAAATCGAGAAATTGAAAATGAAAACATCGGAAAAATGAAAAATAAAAAACAAGAACTTGAAAAATTAAGGAACCGAAAATTGAGAAACTAAATAATCGAAAAATGGAAAATTGTAATATCGCAAAATTGAAAAATTTTGAAGTCGAGAATTTGAAAAATTGAAAAAATAAACAAAAAATCATGAAACCGAAACATTAAAAATAGAAAAATTGTAATATAAAATCGAGAAATTGAAAATAAAAAAATCGAAAAAATGAAAAATAAAAATCAAGAACTTGAAAAATTGATTAAAGAAAAATTTGAAAAAACGAAATATTGGAAAATCAAGGAATTGAAAAATCAAAAATTGAAAATTTGAAGAATTGAATAAACGAAAAATTGTAACGTCGAAAGAAACGTTGAAAAAATAAAGGACGTGCAAAATCGAAAAATTGTAATATAAAATCGAGATATTGAAAATGAAAACAGAAAAATGAAAAATAATAAACAAGAACTTGAAAAATTGAGGAACCGATAATTGAGAAACTAAATAATGGAAAAATGGAAAATTGTAATATCGCAAAATTGAAAAATTTTGAAGTCGAGAATTTGAAAAATTGAAAAAATAAACGAAAAATCATGAAACCGAAACATTGAAAAATAGAAAAATTGTTATATAAAATCGAGAAATTGAAAATAAAAAAATCGGAAAAATGAAAAATCAAGAACTTGAAAAATTGATAAAACAAAAATTTGAAAAAACGAAATGTTGGAAAATCAAGGAATTGAAAAATCAAAAATTGAAAATTTGAAGAATTAAATAAACCAAAAAATTGTAACATCGAAAGAAACATTGAAAAAATAAAGGAAACGCAAAATCGAAAAATTGTAATTTAAAATCGAGAAATTGAAAATGAAAACATCGGAAAAATGAAAAATAAAAACCAAGAACTTGAAAAATTGAGGAATCGAAAATTGAGAAACTAAAAAATCGACAAATGGAAAATTGTAATATCGCAAAATTGACAAATTTTGAAGTCGAGTATTGGAAAAATTGAAAAAATAAACGAAAAATCATGAAACCGAAACATTGAAAAATCCAAAAATCGTAATATAAATAGAGAAATTGAAAATTAAAAAATCGGAAAAATGAAAAATAAAAATCAAGAACTTGAAAAATTGATAAAACAAAAATTTGAAAAAACGAAATTTTGGAAAATTAAGGATTTGAAAAATCAAAAATTGAAATTTTGAAGAATTGAATAAACGAAAAATTGTAACATTCGAAGACACATTGCAAAAATAAAAAATTGAAAAATCGAAGAATTGTAATAAAAAATCGAGAAATTGAAAATGAGAACATCGGAAAAATGAAGAATAAAAGTCAAGAACTTGAAAAAATTTGAGTAACTAAAAAATCGAAAAATGGGAAATTAAAGAAAATGAAAAACCGAAAAATTGTGATATCCAAAAATAAGTCGAAGGTGCTACGCGTTATTTCAAGTGAGTTTTTCCATTACATAATTTTGTGATGACATCATCAATTTTTTGGCAGGGA